AGGCCCTCAGGGGCAGGGCCCTCCTTACCATCTTGTCTTGAATTGTATTGTAATTGTAATGTTTTCCTTACATTGTAAAGCGCTGTGCAAACTGTTGGCACTATATAAATACTATGTAATAATAATAATAATAATATCAGCTGAGAGTATTGACAAACCCAAAAAACGTCTAGATGTCTTCCTCATATAATATGAAAGAATACAGTATGTAAACTGCAAAAAACAAACTGTCCCACACACATAGGTTAGACTGGGTGGATGGGCCTGTGTCTTTTTAAAAAAAAAATCTTATCTATTATGTAATTAAGGATCATGCAATCTCTATTAGTCAGGTGAATTACATACATTGCATATCATTAATAATATGCCAAAGACACAGGGACACAAGACATTTTGTAGGTGGTACAGCATAAGATCCTAAATCACCACACACAGTCAGGGCCGCCATCGGGGGGGTACGGCCATCACTAATGTAAGGGGCCCCAGGCGGCCGAGCAATTTTTTAAATAAATTAGTATGTACAGGCAAGTTGGTACGGTCCCAGGACCCCCCCTGTACAATTGTTACATTCCGTACGTGCAGGAAGGGTTTTTTTTTCTCAAAGCGCGGAGCTAGGCATTACCGCCCAGAGGCCGCACTGACCGCCCAGAGGCCGCACTGACAGCCCAGAGCCCGCACTGACAGCCCAGAGGCCGCACTGACCACTGCACTGACCACACTGAGCCCGCACTGACCGTCCAGATTTCGCACTGACTGCCCAAAGCCCACACTGACAACCGCACTGACCGCCCAGGGTGTGTGTGTTTTGACGAAAATGTATTTTTAGTCGCATTTTAGTCATCAGATTAAGTTTTGTTTTAGTCGACTAAAATCTAATAGGTTTATTTCTAGTGTGACTTATGCAATTCTCTAGCATTTCCAAATTAATTTCATTATATATCCCTGGAGTAATTTTTCATTTGATTTAACTCTTATTTTTTTAAATTTTTTCTTTATCTTCATTGCTATCACATCCCCACAGGTCCCCTATGTGATGGCACATTGGAGGTGACGGGTTCTATTTTCCCCTTCACTGGATTCAGCTGCTGAGGGAGCTGAATGTCAACACAGCAGCTATTTAGCTGCGGTGTTGACAGGCTGGGAGCAATAGCCATCCTCGTATTGCTTATTTTAAATTGCAATAGCAGGCTGACTATTGTACACACCCTCTGCCTGCTGTCAATCAGAAGAGGAGGGAACTGACAGCAGGCAGTGGGCGGGTGCAATAGCCAGGCTGGCTATTGTTTCCAGCTGCTGATTGGAGACTTGACACCAGTGATAGAACACCGCCAGAAGAGGAGGAACGGGACAGAAGAGAATGGGGTGGCCAGAGAAGGAGGAACGGGGTGGCCAGAGAAGGAGGAACACGGCGGGCAAAGGAGGAACGGGCAGCAGCGGAGGTACGAGGGGGAGCAGTGGGGAAATGCAGTGACAGTCTCTCCTCCCTGCTTGTGCCTGGTGCATTGGTCTGTGTTCCCACTGCCTCTGCCGATACCGGCGGGGAGAGCAGCGGGGATTAAGAGGAACACAGACCTCTGCAGCCAGCACCAGTGGGGAGGAGAACATTGACGAAAATTAGGTACCGGACGAAAATCGTTTTCGTCCCATTAACTACTCTTTAATTTCGTTTTTATCACTGAAAAACGGGCAAAAAACCTTCGCCGACTAAAAAAACACTGCTTGAGAGCCCACACTGGCCACCAGAGAGCCCGCACACCCCCCCCTGAAACCCCGCAAAACCCTTCTGAGACCCTGGAGACATCAGACAATGAACCCGGAGGAACACCACAGGGTATGCAGCGTCATAGTATTCTGCATTGCTGTATAATGTATTGCAGAGATTGGTAGTCTCTCTCTACAACTTGGAGTCAGTGGCAGTTCTACCAGACTCACAGCTGCAACCAGGCCCTGGCGCTCCACCACTGACTCCAAGCTGTAGAGAGACTACAAATCACAGCCCGAACCGGAGGAAGAGAGCCCTGGTGACCTTCGACATTTCCACCAAAAGGCCCACCGAAATCCTGAGCACTAGGCCCATGATGTTCTTAATTCGGCCCTGGGGCCCAGGCCTAAAGCTGTGTAAGGGGCCCAAAAATTTCTGATGGCTGCCCTGCAGTCCTAAGTGACCATACACAGTCCAAATGAAAGATTGATATCTGGGCTGTGTGTAAACACAGATCCCTAGACTGTTAATATCTGCTAGAATATCACATAACGGGGATTTAGTATTTCATTTACATCGGTTCTCTTGTGATCTGTCAGTGATCCATATACAGTAGCTAAAAAAAAAACACCTTCAAAGACATAATTAAGGCAGCCCCCATTGCTAGTTTTAAGGTACAGGCTCCATGCTGTCATTCTTCTGCTGGCTTCACTTAGTAGGTTCACCATAGATAGGTAGATCCCATAAGCATTTGACAAATGTTCATTGAACAAATATTCTTCATGGAACTAATCATCAGTGAACACAGTCTGTGATTGTTTAAAACAATTTTCGAATAAACTGAACCTTTTATGAAAGTGTAAAGTCTGCTTTGCTGACAGACATCCTGATTAAATACACATAGGGACTCAAATATAAACCTTTTGCCCGTTCTAAGCTGGTTGATGCCGTGCCTACAGCATTACCACCACCAGATGGCGTAGAGTAGAATAGGAAATTCTTATGTTGAAGTAAGCGGTTGACATGAACACGGCTTCACTGGGCTGGTGAACTTTTTTACTTCATTGGTAAATTAACCCCAAACACAGATGTTGCCACATATTTTAAAGAACTGACATGAACTCTTACAGTATGTGCATTTTTCAGGCATAGGCACCAGTGACTTTTCCAACAGTAATTTGTATTTGTTTTGCGTAGAAAGTGCCTCTTTTTCTGCACCTCTTTCTCTGAAGTGATGGTAATGCCTGCCGGTCATTTTATTATCCACGTTTAGGAGGAGTAGCAGGTTTGACAAGGTTGGGGAAGGGGGGCAGGGTCTTGATTCCAGCTGTCCCAATCAAGGTGTCAGGAGTCACTCCCAAACCTCACTGGGGGGCAAGTAGAGATTGGACAAGTGCCTTTCTCACCTTTCACCAGCCTCAGGTCTACAGAGCTCTCCTAGACCCTACAGGTCTAGCAGGTGTGCAGGAAAAACAAGACTGAGGCAGCAGTGAGGAAAGGCTGCTTTTTAAAGTGGATAGAATGAATAGTTAGCTCCTGTGACAAGGAACAGCATTGATAGGATGGAGAGTGAGCTCCTGGGACAAGGAACAGCATTGATAGGATGGAGAGTTAGCTCCTTGGACAAGGAATAGCATTGACAGGATGGAGAGTTAGCTCCTGGGACAAGAAACATCATTGATAGGATGGAGAGTTAGCTCCTGGGACAAGGAACAGCATTGATAGGATGGAGAGTTAGCTCCTGGCACAAGGAACAGCAGAGATAGGATGGATGGGATGAAGAGTTAGCTCTTGGGACAAGAAACAGCAGAGATAGGATGGATGGGATGGAGAGTTAGCTCCTGGGACAAGGAAGAGCAGAGATAGGATGGATGGGATGGAGAGTTAGCTCCTGGCACAAGGAACAGCAGAGATAGGATGGATGGGATGAAGAGTTAGCTCTTGGGACAAGAAACAGCAGAGATAGGATGGATGGGATGGAGAGTTAGCTCCTGGGACAAGGAAGAGCAGAGATAGGATGGATGGTATGGAGAGTTAGCCCCTGGGACACGGAACAGCAGAGATAGGATGGATGGGATGGAGAGTTAGCTCCTGGGACAAGGAACAGCAGAGATAGGATGGATGGGATTAAGAGTTAGCTCCTGGGACAAGGAAGAGCAGAGATAGGATGGATGGTATGGAGAGTTAGCTCCTGGGACAAGGAACAGCAGAGATAGGATGAATGGGATAGGCGGGAGTTAGGTCCTGAAACGAGGAACAGCAGAGATAGGATGGATGGGATGGAGAGTTAACTCCTGGGACAGGGAACAGCAGATAAGATGGATGGGATGGAGAGTTAGCTCCTGGGACAGGGAACAGCAGATAGGATGGATCTGGGATGAAGAGTTAGCTCCTGGGACAGGGAACAGCAGAAATAAGATGGATGGGATGAAGAGTTAGCTCCTGGGACAAGGAACAGCAGATATAGGATGGATGGGATGGAGAGTTAGCTCCTGGGACAGGGTACAGCAGATAGGATGGATGCGATGGAGAGTTAGCCCCTGGGACAGGGAACAGCAGATAGGATGGATGGGATGGAGAGTTAGCTCCTGGGATAGGGAACAGCAGATAGGATGGATGGGATGAAGAGTTAGCTCCTGGGACAAGGAACAGCAGATAGGATGGATCTGGGATGAAGAGTTAGCTCCTGGGACAGGGAACAGCAGAAATAAGATGGATGGGATGAAGAGTTAGCTCCTGGGACAAGGAACAGCAGATAGGATGGATCTGGGATGAAGAGTTAGCTCCTGGGACAGGGAACAGCAGAAATAAGATGGATGGGATGAAGAGTTAGCTCCTGGGACAAGGAACAGCAGATATAGGATGGATGGAGAGTTAGCTCCTGGGACAGCAGAGGTGGAAGGAAGGATGTAGACGTATGGAGCTCCCCGGACTCTGTACAGCAGGGATGATGTGTCCGGATACTGAGCCCCCTCCGAGGTGGAGCAATGTATATGAGAACTCCCGAAGATGATGGGTGTGATATGTCACATAGTACTACGTTCCCGGGACCCTGTATAAATGGATGGAGGGGGATGGGTCCTATATAGACTCAGTACACCGGGGATGGAGGGGGATGTGTCAGCGGCGAGTTCCCGGGACCCCGTCCGGCTCTGATGGAGGAGGGCCGGGGAGGCAGGACCGCTGTCCGGGATAGGAGGAGGGATGTGACGGGGAGGCGGCCTGGGGAGGAGTCGAGGTCAGAGGCAGCGGGTTTGTTTCCTCTGGTCACATTAATCGATCCTGTACGGAGCGGCTCTCCCTCGTCTGTCCGCCCGGCCCGGGTGTCTCCCCGTCCAGCATGGCCCTGAGAGCCCGCGCTCTGTACGATTTCCGGGCGGAGAACCCGGGCGAGGTGTGCCTGCGGGAGTCGGAGGTGCTGAGCCTGTGCAGCGATCAGGATATAGAGGGCTGGCTGGAGGGAGTGAACAGCCGGGGGGATCGGGGGCTCTTCCCGGCCTCCTATGTAGAGATCCTGCGGGGGGAAGCGCTCAGCCCTCCTCCGCCTCCTCCACCCGTCGATACCCGCTATGCCAACCTCCCCCCTGGAGGATACGAGCCTGCCCAGCCGCCCCCCACCTACCGGGCACAGGAGTCCTTCCAGGGGTTCTCCCGGCCCGGTGCCCTCCCCTACCAGCACAGCCAGCCCAGTGACGATGATTGGGATGACGAATGGGACGACAGCAGTTCCACGGCGGCGGATGAGCCCGGTGGCGTTACCACCCCCGGTCACTATGGAGGTGGTTTCCATGACTACGAGAGCAGCAGGTACCGCATGTCCACCCGTTCCGAGATGCCCCCGGGCTCCTATAACACCACCAGCTCCACCACGTCTGCCGCTAAGGGCACGGCCACCGTTGGCCGTAACCTGAACCGTTTTTCGGCCTTTGTAAAGAGCGGCGGCGAGGCGTTCGTTTTGGGGGAGGCGGCGGGCTTCATTAGAGATGGAGACAAGCTCTGCGTAGCCGATGGTCCCCATGGGCCTGAGTGGCAAGAGAATCCCTACCCGTTCCATTGCACCATTGATGAACCCACCAAGCAGACCAAATTCAAGGGGATGAAGAGCTACATCTCCTACCGCCTGTTACCCAGTCACACCAACCTGCAAGTCTACCGCCGCTACAAGCACTTTGACTGGCTGTACGCCCGGCTGGTGGAGAAATTTCCAGTCATCTCTGTTCCACGCATCCCAGAGAAACAAGCCACGGGCCGCTTCGAGGAGGACTTCATCTCCAAGCGCAGGAAAGGCCTGATTTGGTGGATGGACCACATGTGCAGTCACCCGGTGCTGTCTAGCTGTGACGCCTTCCAGCATTTCCTTACCTGTACGGATGAGAAAGCCTGGAAGCAGGGCAAGAGGAAGTGCGAGAAGGATGAGATGGTGGGAGCCAACTTCTTTCTAACTCTCAACACCATGCCAGGATCACCGGTGTTGGAACCCCATGAGGTTGACGGAAAACTGGATGCCTTCAAGGCGTTTGCCAAGAGGATGGATGAAGGCGTACTTCTGCTCAACCAAACAGCTGGAGAGTTTGCCCGTAAGCAAGCATCGGGCTTCAAAAAGGAGTACCAGAAAGTTGGACAGGCTTTTAAAGGTTTGGGCCAAGCCTTTGAGATTGACCAACAGGCCTTTTCAGCCGGTCTGAATATGGCGATGTCCTTTACGGCGGATGCCTACGATGCTATTGGGGAGATGTTTGCTGAGCAGCCCCGTCAGGACCTGGATCCAATTATGGACTTGCTGGCAGTCTACCAGGGCCACCTGGCCAACTTCCCTGACATCATCCATGTTCAGAGAGGTAATCACGCTTTGCTTATTTTGCCTGTTATTGTCTATGCTGTGTGACATTTTGGTGCATTCTCCAAACATTAGTTCCCAACGCAGCAGATGTTTAAAAATACAAGTTGATGTTCATTTTGTAAATTTGGGGGGAAACAATTAGAGCAATAGTCTTTTAAAGTCTGATCCTGTGCATGAAAATACTTACTGGAGGAAAGTAATACAACCCTCCAGTGAGGTACATCATGTCGATCAGTCTTTCTTCACCTCTTTCCTGGCAGGATTCATTGTTGAGACATTTCACTGTTGAAGTGTAGTGGTCAAGTTGTGTTATCCGATTTGAACGCAAAACTTTCCTTTTCTTAAAAAAAAAAAAGTGGTAGCTTCATGTACCTTTGCCAAGTGTCTTCCATGCCCTGGGAGCCTCTCGACCAGGGCTGGACAAATCCCAGGAGCCAGGTAGCAATTGCTCTTTAAAAACACCAGCTGGCTCCAAACGTTTGAGATTTCCTTTAGTTGTTGTCAATGGAGCTGGCTCTTTGGCAGAGAGGATGCACAACTGCAACCTCTCGTATTTTGCCTTGCTGTGGTCAGCGCCGTAAAAGATGGCTGCTGGTTGCTCTGGGTTAAAGCATTCTAAGGCAGTTGCTGCTCTTTGCTTACAAAATAAACCAGACACATGTAGTCATCACCATGAATAAATGTCAGTTAAAGTACCGCAGCGCTGAATACTAAAAAATGGCCTGGATGGGAAGGGGGTTTAACACCGCGGATGTCAACTGGTTAATGTAGCTGTGAGCTGGTGATGTGTGGAGTAGGTGTTTGTCTCTTATTTTGTCCTGTCATTCATATGTGTACTATATCTAGGTGTTTCCTATTTCTCTGGTCAGATAATACCTTTTTATACGATTTTATATCAACCGATGTTTTTCTTTATTCCGTACTGTCAACGTCATCCTGGTTTAACATATCATTAGGCCCTTTTTTACCGATCCCAAGTATATATTCCATGATAAAACATTTCTTTTAGCGTACGGTGGCATTTACAAGGTGGTTAATACAGTATTTCCATGTGCTCGCCGTATAGATGACGGTTACCCTGCTTTGCCAGCTCCCTCGCCTCATGCACTTGGCAGACTTGGAACCTGGCAATTGTAGCTCATCCTGTGTTCTGCTCCAAGCAGGATTTCATGGTGACGTTGCCATGGGCTTTATCAGCGAGGAACAGCAAACCAGCTCTGTATTGTGTTATCAGAACTGTTCTGTAGCCAATGTTGTGTCTAGCTCATGTACCAAAACTGAAATCAAAGTCTTCCTATGTAAGTCTGTGCCCTCCCACTCTGAGGTATTGTACACTCCGCTATATCATTGAAGAGTCTTCTCAAAAAACCATCACAAATCCGAAAAATGAGGATTACATATGAACGTTACCCTCCAATTTAATGTCTCCCAAAACAGTTACTTTTAGGGGCTAGTTCACACCAGCCCCAGTGCATTCCGGCACGATTTGGTACTAGAACGCACTATGTCGCTTTTTCGGCAGGCTTACTGCGTTCTGGGGCGGGAGGAGGCATGGTAGTGCATTGAAGTAAATGGCACCGCAGCCAACCTCACCGGTGCGCATGTAGCATTTTTATCTGACTGAACCGGAACACAGGAGTTGTTGTGCCCACGCGTTCCAGTGCTGGTGATCACACTGCGGGCAGGGGGCATGGCTGCGGTAACATTGACTTCAGTGCGCCCCCAGAACAATGTGAGCAGGCCAGGATGCGTTTCAGAGTGTTCTGGCACCGAATTGTACTGCACTGGGGCTGGTGTGAACTAGCCCTAAGGCATGACCACTGTCAAGGTTGTAAGTGTACTTATTTCAGCTCCCAACCAAACTTTCCTCAAATGGCTGCTGTCATGGCTGATCACATGTGCAGCACCATGGCAACTGCAATCCAAATTGAGACTAAGATGATTCCTTTGTTGTAAGGGATTGGAGGGTGTAGTTCTTTAAGGATAAGAAGGAGGTTCCTCAGGCAAGTGTGTGGAGCTATGCAAATTATTTCTGTTTGCATCATGGGCCAAATGTACATCCAAAGTCATTGGTTTACAGCACAGGTCCGGCCTACTAATACAACCGTGGACACATTTGTTGCTCCCCTACCACAATTAAAGAACTCATCATTTTTCTATGGGATACTTTGACCAAAGTGATTGTCATCCGTCAGTGTTTGTTCCATATTCAGACTTTGCTTTTGATTTCTTTATTTAACAGCATGTTTAAAGGCTTGTTTACGCCAATGCCACCCCAAACACACCTTCTACCCGCAATGCGCTTGACTGCGCTGCAATGTGCGGTACTGCAATACCACGTGATGCAGTTTAAAAAAGTGCATGCATACTTTTTATCAACTCCCAACGGACAGTAGTGCAGATGGGGGGTGCATTTGGGGTGCCATTCATATACCTGGCAACACAACACACCTCCTGCACTGTTAAGACATGGACTTGGTGTGACCGGGCCTTTACATAATAAAACAAGTGAACATGGCATGGACAAAAATGGTGGGACCCTTTAAATGCAACTAATGCCAGAACTGTTTGTTTAGTTTAGAGTAGAGAGGGATTAGATCGTCTGTCAGGGTTTTATTGCTGTCTGTGTCCCCATTGGGGGAGATCCACGCTCTCTCTATTTGTCCTGGTGACCTGGTTATCGGAGTGAAGGAAAATCCCAAATTTTTGGTTCTCATCAAAACAGGAATGAATGGGAAATCTTCCAATGGGGACACTAGTTCTGGTGACTCTGCTGGAATTTGGATGAATTTCCTCTTCCTGTTGTGACTATTGGACAGGAAGTGAAGGGAAATCTCCCCAGTTGTCAGGGCCCAGCTTGGGATGAGTATGGTGGATCACAGCTGCGGTTCCAACTGGGGGTGTAGTGCGGTTGTCAGGCTTAAATCCCCGGCGGCTCTCTCAATCTTAAACGGAGAGTAGGGGATTAAGTCATCATGGACCGCTAAATAATACCCGTAATAACTTTCGGTGTAGTACAGACTAATAAACCAATCCCTGATGATGGTAATCTAGTCTGGAATTAAGGTGTGAGCGAATGGTGTAGACACTATGGCAGATAACATCAATTCTCCCCTTCATACAGCATAACTAGGGTTAGTATTGAAAACCTGAGGGAGGCGATACCCAAAAACTCCACCAGAGGGCAGCGTCTGTGAGCCAAGATAGAGTCAAGATAAAGCTTGAAGATACTTGCAGGCTCCTGGTAGATGCAATCGGATTCCACAAGAGTTCACACTGGATGCTGGCTGCTGGGGAGCTGTTTCCTCCTTCAGGAGAGGTTCGAGGCGGCTGGTGAGGTTCCTGTGGGGTGTATGGGCTATGATCCCAATCATCGAACACCCCACAGCATCGATGGCAAGTTTAAATAGCCCGCGGCCGTGACGTCACGCGGCCGTGGGCTACTTCCGCGTTCCAGCGTGGAACGCATCTAGACTTCCGTCAAGGGGGAGGAGGAGAGCGGCGTGCACCGCGGCCGATGCGCCCCAGCCTGGAACGCAGTCGGGAGGAGCCAGGAAGCCGGGGGACATTACACCAGTGGGACACAGATGGCAAACAAGCTAATATTTTGTTGCAAAACACCTTTAGAGGCAATAACTGCAAACAAGGGGTTTATGTAGCTTGCAGTGAGACTCCTACATCAGCCAGCAGGTGGTTTGGTCCACTCTTCCTGCCTGCAGTTGTGGCCATACACCGCATTACTCCCATGTGTGAGAGTGGAATATTATTTGTGTGAATAGTAATAGCATTGAAATACCTGTAAAAAATAGGTCACGGCAACTGGACTTGCTGTATTTTTCTTGAACACATCTCACTGGTCATCCAATTAGCTTTCTCAATTCAGAATGAAGTGTACAAAAATTCTCTGGGAATAAATATGGTGAATGTCGCTCCAATCCACATATGTTAGTCACAACCAGGTGTTGATTGCATTTGCATAAAACAGCATTGTATGTTGCAGACAATGGATGTCTCACCCCCCACCCCCACCTCTATTGTGGCAGACATCTATTGTCTGCCACATTATCAACACCTGGTTAAAACTAATAGATTGTGGATTGGAGCAACATTCATCATATTTATTCCCAGATCATTTTTGTACGTTGTTCTGAATTGAGAAAGCTGGACGGATGACCAGTGAAACGTCTTAAAAATTTTATTGTTTATCCGATTAACCGATTAATCAAACTTAATAATCGGCTAACTAATCGATTTTGAAAATAATGGTTAGCTGCAGCTCTATTGAGAACCATCACAGACAACGTTGAAACGCATTACAATTGTGTGATGTTGCAATTCTATGGTGATAGCCACTATATGTTACATGCCAGGAAATATAAAGTGGTGTCTATGTGGGCCCGGTCTGCCACACAAAGACATCTTATATGGGTTTACATGCCTTTAGGGACACTGTGCGTTCTTACTTTGAGGATCTGAGTCCTTCTTGAGTTGATCTAGATTCCACACTAGCAATGCTGGCATTTTGTAGCTGCAAAGGTGTCTTTGAACAGCATTCAATACTTACTAAACGTTTGCTAAGCAAGTATAGCAAGTCTGCTTGATCAAACTGCTCCAGCTGTCTCCGTTTTGAAGGGTGTCATCTCCAGACTGAATGTTTGAGGCCAGGTGCACACATGGGTGTCCCAGGCCCGCGTGTTCACGTGCAGCCCCATTGATTATCAATGGGGTTATATCTGCACGGCAATCGCTGAAAACCTTTTTTCGCGACACACACCATGCAGGGTTTTCAGCTGCAATTGTGCGCAATTGTACGGGCAGAATCACTCCGGGAAACAGCACAATGTGATTGGGGTGCCATTAGAAAAAAAAATGGAACCGCCAGTGCAATCAGTGGTGGTGTGCGATTCCGTGACCGCCTGGCCATCCATGCGGTTTCGTGCACGATTGTGGCGCGTTCACAGATCGCCCAAGTGTGAACCTGGCCTCCGTTTTTTTCCC